TTATTTATTACATAAATCAGTTGGGAGCTCGGTCGTGCGGTCGTCGAAGGTTTATGTCCATCGTAGCTTGGTCTGTGCGTTTGGTAAGATTCATCATTCGGTGCGTAACTCGGCTGGGAATTCGGCCGTGTGCTTGTCGAAGGCTTGTGTCCATCGTAGTTTGGTCTGCTTGTATAAAATTCATCGCTCGATTCATAGCTCGGTCTGGTTAACCGTATGTTTGTCGGGGGTTCAGAACCACCGTAATTCGGCCTCTGCGCTAATTTCTGTTCGTCGTTCAATGCGTAATGTCCAAAGTTTTCTGAAAACTTGGGTCTTTCGTAGGCATGCGCTGGAGGTAAATCGTGATACAAGAGTCCGTTGATTAAATAACCGTCAATCTCTGACTTTTGGGTAGTTGATGCCTTCTGGAAATTCGTGTAATACGTGTAGAGAGTGGGCGTGGGACTGGTGCCGGAATAGTTGTCGTAAAAGACGTCGTCCTGGGCGAAAGCGGGCGATCTGTACCCGTAGGCTAGCGGATTCGGATTATGGGGATCGCGGAAACTGTAGGGAACATATGGATGACGGGCTAAGTGAATACTTGGCGAATGAGGGATCGTCGTCGGTATAGGCCTTCCCTGCGGTCGATACAGATGATTTATTAAAGCATGATTAAGGTTCGAGCTTGGTCTGGCAGAAGGCTGCCCCTGTATTTTGATACGCGAACCGTAAATTCCCTCGTTCACGAAAACAGGCGCGTTCACGGCATTGTTCTGGACCACGATCGTGAGGTTGTCTGGACGCCCGAAGGGTTTCTTCACGACGATATTATTCTCCTGATTGACGCTGTTCTGAAAAGGCTTTGGAGTTGTAGACTTTGTATGTTCGGAGCTGGAGACTCTCCTCCTATGACTAACGTTTTCCTTTTTCGGCCTTGGAACAGAGCTACTTTTCTCGGTCGCCGTTCGTTTAACTTTCTGCGAGTTGTCGACGTCGTCTTTGAATTCGGACGGTCGTTCGGCCCAGAGTTCGAGGTCCAGGTGCCCAATGGCCGGATCATCGCAAGAAAGACGTTTATTCTTCAACATATCCGCCGCGAGGAAAACAAACGGTTGTATAGTCTTAATGTCATCCATCATTCGGCATAGTACTTGAGCCAAACTGACTTGCCTGATCTGTTGCAACTGGCCGGCGGTGAAGCTGCTTTCGCTGTCGGGATTCTCGTACCAGAATCGATCGCCACGTCGCAGATTGCTGAATTGCTGGGCGATTATGCAAGCGAAGGTTGGCCCGACCAGGCCGCCAACCACTGACTTCTCCGCCAGACCAGCCGAGAAGAGGTCGATGTCCTCCACCGACGAGTATAGCGATTTAAATTTTCTCGAGACGCTTCGCGACATTACTCTATCGAGGTCCTCGAACGTTTTTATCGGGGACAAGGCACAAGGCTCGCGCCATCGCACGTAGGGCGGTAAACCGTGATCTCTGCCCCGCTGGATATTGATGGAGGCGAGATCCATGCCGAATGCGAAACCGGGCGTTTGGAAAAGATGATTCGTTACTTCTTCGCTCATGAACTCGTCCCGCCTTTGGCACGGTTGATTCACTAGGCCTAGAAGAAGGCGATCGACGGATCCCGCCGTATCCAGATTCGCAGGGTTGCTGAACTCGTCGTGGATCGAGACGTCTGTGACAGTGTTTTTATTTCTTGAGTTGAATACTACTCCATACTTTCGGTTTCATTGAAATTAGTTACAATTATAGTATACTTCAAGCCTTTTTTTTGTTAGATATCAGCATTATATACTTGGGAAACACATTGTGTCTGAGAATATTCGTATATCGTGATTCAAAATTGTATGTGACAACTTGGTATCTCTAATTGTAAGTTTGACAAATGAAAGATAAAGGAGAAATTAAACGTAAATATAAAAAAGTAAATGATTTGCCGTGCACTATCAAATTAATCAATAAAAGAATATTTTAGGATTTTTAAATAAAATGTTAAACTCGAGAATGTAGAACGTGTTGTCTACTGTAAACATCAAGCGTAACTGTATCTTTATAACGCCTGTATGCATTTAACCATGTGCTCTACTATGCAGCGAGTACACCGCAATGCAGCAGCGCGGTGCACGTGTCTCGAATATTTACGCTGACAAAGGTTTATTTTTTTCTCTAAAATGTATATTTACCGGTGCTGTGTAAATTACTGATTTTAATTCCGTAATTAAAGGCTTTACGCGACTCTATACGACCTTTAGACATCTCAGACGACTTATAATTTGCGTCAAATTTTAGGACAAAACTCTATTTATCACTTTGTATGCCGTATTTCATGCGTTTTAAAATATAATTGTACACATGTACATTCTCGAGTTTTTCGTATTATACATAAAATTATTGAAAGCGGATAACGTTTTGATTTTTAAAATGACGAATTATATTATAGATCGCCTGAACAGTGGGCTTTAAAGTATACTATTCCCCCTTCTATTCATTATAATAATAACAATATAGCATTTATGGCATTTATATCATTATAGTAATTTTTGTTACTACAATTTTACTCACTATTAAAGATGGGCCTGTGGTCGCTATCGAACCTAACGAAACTCCGCTGGACCAATGAGTGTCCGAATCGATAAGCCGCCGTAGAAAATGAATTTGCAATGGTGGGATTCACGGTCGGATCGTATCCCTCGTAGTAGCCCTTTTTAAGAACTTCCAGGTCAAAGATCTTCATCACCTGAGGGCCTGGGGAACGTTACCAGTGCTTTACCTCAGAACGCTTTGTCTCGTTTAGTCTTTACGACACTATCGATCATGTTATCTTCGAGTGAGTGCCGTAACTACCGAATTGGAAGTTGTCTTACCAAGAACGATCGGCAGGAATTCTCGATAAGTTATGTGTTGGACCACCGCGCCGACGAGCCTTCGGGTTTCTTGAAAAAGTTTCTCGTCGCTCCAGTGGGAGTTCAGGACGGATAGTTCCGTGGCTATCCTGTTGTGCAATCTTAAAAAGACGACGTGCAGGGACGTGAGAGCAGGTTGCTCGCTCAGACGTCCGTCGCCCGCTCGGAAGCAGGTCGTAGACAAAGATCCGCGTTTGCACAAGTCTGATTCGCGTTTCAGGAGCGAGGGTCTGCGCGACTGTATCCTTCCGTATTGCAGTAAGCCTGGAAAATCAGAGATGGAGATTCTAAGCGGATCGGGGGAGGAGTTCCCTGCCTCTTCCTCTCGAAACCGTCGGAATTGGTGCGCGCACTCACCGTTCCGGAATAGTCTCAGACTGTCGCTGTGCATGGCGTTACTGCTGTAAACCATGGAGGCATCCAAATAACTGGTCACCTGGGACAATTGGTCTCTCGGGCCAAATTCGCAGCCCTCTTTAGGGGCCGGCCCGCTTCTGAGGAATTCCAGACACCTTACGCCCAGAGGACCGTAGAAATTGTCGCGCAGGTTCACCGCTATCGGAAGACACTCCGGGTGCTATTGACATACATTACAAGTGTACTCTCTTCTCGCGTTCTTCTCTCGCGTGGGGGTATCGAAATGCCAACTTTTCGGGTGCGAAGCGGGACGAAAGTTGCAGTTCATAAATGTTGCAATTTGCCGCGGTTGTCTCTAGCGACACGACATGAATCATATCCGTACGAATAAAACGTCTCGGAATGTTTATAATGGATGGTGTTACGGCTAGAAGTTATAACTACAGTCACTGATTAATTCATTACCATGAACTCTGGCGGTTGAAAACCGACGCCCCCTTGTAAGCAACATTGTGGTATTGTGCCATTAAATCCTCTGCTTTGACCGGTCGCTGTTAGAAACGATGGATATAATTAATACAGTTGCGTCTTGACGAAACGGTCCAAATTGAAGCGAGGTTGAAGGAAATTTTAATAACCAACCTGTCAAATCGTGATCTACAAACTGTCCCCACTGCATTAGCATGTGAGTAATGGAAGCCAGGGGTACGTCTTTGTTTTCGTGGATCAGGCTCGTGACATCCCGTGCGCTCGGGAGCGGCCTTCCGTCCCTCGACCTCCTAACACTTTGAACGCCGTCCTCGTATTCCGATGAAAGAAATCTGAGTATGACGATTGCTTTAGCACGGGGGGAAGCATCTTCGTTTTTTTTTTTACGTTTTACATTCAGAGATCGCGCGGGAGGAAAGTGTAACTGCCGTAGCTAAAAACTGCATGCGACTAAATTTCGGTTGTAAAATATGGGCAGCTAATACTTACAATTAGTTGTGATAGCTAATACTTTGCTACTGTGCCTGTTGCATCAGGTGCGGCAGCAAACCGTTTGCCGTGGCTTAGAACTTTACAGCTGATGCAGCGAAATATTTTTAGCAAATCGTGATTGGCTACGGTAGCGACAATTCTTTTCCCAGTGCGTTAATGGCGGGTCGCCATACACTTTGCTTATATTTACCTCCTCATCGCAGACATCGCGGAGCCCCACCAGAGATTTTGCAGATTATTGCAGCTGCCGTCGGACGTTCTGTACCTTAGGCTAGCCCGCGGGCATCGGGGTGGGTCCCTCCGTGGACATTGTTGTTCCAGCGAGCTCCTTCGGGTGAGCTTACTTCGGGATAAAGGTAATTCCAACGGCGTATTCGGGAACCTGACAAGACGATCGGAATAGTCGTAACAGTTTCTTATTACGCCATTAGAAGTTCGCTGTTGCTTACGGGAAGCTTACTTTTTTAAGAACACAGCGGTGCCTTGAAGGGCCGCGTATCCGAATCTCGCGAGGCCTCTCGCCTCCTCCGACTGATCGTTAAACGCCGCTACGTATCTCGCTGGATTATCGTTCTCCAGATAAAGACCTGCACGTTCGTTTCGTATATAAGAATTTTTTCGTAGATATACGCATCTAATAACGTTGGCAATACGCGATATATCATTGGATGGATGGATTAGTAAAGGTTTCTTAAACGCTTACCCATCGAATACAATTTAGGTTCCTGAATATAATAAAGATCGTTCATGGCTTGCAAGCCAAAATTCGCGGCTTCCATCAGACCGTCTTCCTCCGATTTCCAGCTCTCCTGATCGGCGCCACCCAGGGTTTGATTATCGGCTTTCGGCGCGGCGTTCTGCGTTTTCACGATCCCATCATTCGAGTTTTCAGCGAGGTGCGCCTTCGAAGTATCACCGATATTAGAATCAACACTTGCTCGCACGCCGTCGTCCCATTCTTGAAGGATCTTCACTTGTTGCGGGGTATTACTTTTCGCGTTGCCCAATGATTTCGGCATGTTAGTTTTGACACCCGCATTATTCAGCGATCCGGCCCAGGATCCCTCTTTGAGTTTATCTTCCGTCTTTTTGGTTTCTTCATCTTCTTCTTCTCTTGCCGCCGGTTCTGTTACTGCGGGGCTTTCAGAAATGCGCGATACGTTCAAAAATTCATGTCGGATTCCATCTCCCGTCTGATTCGTCTCTTTCGCAGGAATGTACGTGATTCCGTCGGAATCTCTCGGCTGTAACACATCCGCCGCTGCCTCTTCTATCTCTCTCTTCAGCAGCTTCTGTACGTATTTCAGCCGCGCTGCTTCGACAGGATACGAAGTATTTGCGTTGCTTTCTTGGATCTCCGGGGTTAAAGGATTGTAGTCCGATGAAATATTTACTCGCCTCCTCGCAGCGTCCGTCGATGTGAAAAACGATTGCTCGTGTTTGCCGGAAATTCTTACTTCGTGATTTGACGTTTGGCTTTTCGTGTGGGATTCTGCTGTATCGTCCGTTTCCCTCGGTTTCGATGACAATGCGCAGGAGAGGGAGGAAAAAATGAGGCTGACAAAAATAACAACCATTCATTACGCGTAACATGGCATATCCGCGTCTCATAAAGAAAATGTTAGATAAAAAATTTGTTTACGCCGATGTCTAAGCCCAGTCCAGCAAATATCAATTGTGATTTATGGCAAAATTTCAGACAAAGAAATCAACGATCCACTCGATGGATATTTAGCGCTGTATGTTTTTGATGTTTCAAAGCGCATCGCACGGTATTTTGATAGCGATCTGACTTTCACTGATGTGTGCACGAGTTTCTGATATCGATCGTGCTCAAAGTAACATTCGAGCGACATTTATGTCACGTTTTTCCTGCTCGTGACATTGACTTTATCGCGAGCTAATCTACATGATCAAGCACGGGTATTTCATTCACACTCGCGATACAACGTACGCGGGTACCGTTTATCGCAACGCGCGCTCCCCTTGTCTTTCTATTCCCATTTCGCAGGATTTCAATAAATACTTGAAGCTTTGTTTCAACAAGATGTAATTATATAAATTAAATTTTACAACGTTAAACTAATAATTCTATTGCTGCTACATAAGCATCATAAAACGTGACATTTGATAAGGTATGAGAATCGATCTGTATATCCGAGATCGTGAAGCGTTGAGAACAATAGTGATGTCCAAGTAATATGATGACAGATATTAATTCAAAGAAAGAAAGAAAAAAGAAGAGAAGCACTGGATGAGTCGAAACATTCACTAAATGAAACTCGGCACCGCGAGGCGTTAGGATCGAGAGAGATGTAACGGGATCGCGAATTGTAGAACAGCAAAGGCACGATGGACTAAAGATATTATATTGACCTTGTTGAGACGTTGGAGAGAGATCTTCTCTTGAATTTTTCCATGGCGAGTGAATCGTAGAAACATGCAAATCTATTTACAGCCGATCTATTTATAGATCTGTTATAAATATACACGTATAGAAAAAACGTATGTTTAAAAATCTTGAATATTAATAATTAAATTCAAGAATTTAATTAATATGTACCACAATTAACAGAGAGAAATCTCTTTTTACATTAAAATAATCCCAAGTCTAGTACAGATTTACAAACATTGTCGATGAACGAAGAGACACGTTGCTTAAAAATGGCTGAACTTGATCGCGAATTTGACTACATTCCAGGTGTGATTTGTCAATGACGTTTGTAAGTCTGTATCAGAAAGGAAACACTTATCGATATCGACTCACAAGGTTGCAAAGTGCATTTTGTCCGGCGACACGGCCCTTGGTTGCTTTCACAATATTCGGTGGCGCATACTCGACAGCGCGAAATCGTCAAGTGTCGAACGAAGACGCGGAAACGGTAGAGAGCAAGATCGAGAAACGGGAAAAGGATGAAGAATGAAAAAAAAATGGACACGGAGACACGCGTGTGGATCGTCGAATCGAGGCGGCGGCCTTCTCGAGGACGGTTAACCAGGTACTAACCGGTGATCAGATCGACCGACTGGTCTTATCCGCGAGGAAGGTGCCTCCGGGCTTGGCTTTTTGTTCGTCGGTGCCAGCGTCGTCGTTTTTTGCGTATTTTTACTGTTATCCGTGGCGCCTCGACGCGTTATCTCGTTATTTCGACTGTCCGCCGTTGATCATCTCGCGTCACGGGAAGACTCCGTGTTTTGCTCGGGCATCGCGCGCGGCAGGAAGACGTAAGATCGAGCTTCCTATAATTGTGTTGCGGCGTTTACGGTTTCTCGGATGCGGATTCAGAACACTCATACCGGCGGGAAGACAAGTCGAAATGAGCACGAGATTATACTAATTAGCGCGTCGCGCCATTAACATTTTCTACATCGATCGCCGTCCGTTGATCATTGACAATCTGATATAAGCTCCTACTAATCCGGTTATCATTGAATTGGATTTTTTTATATCCATTCATTTAAGTTGAACGACTTCCGGAGAGCGATATTGTAGTTAAATCTTTTTAGCGTGTATCATTAAATGTTATGATCGTACGATTTTATTTAAACTTTTTAAGGAGCGAGGAAACTTGATGTGAAATAAATGTACACGTATACATTTATTTCGTGTTAACTTTTTTTCTTTAGACCAATTACTTTTTCATGGTACTGCAGTTTTACGTTTCTTGGAAACATTTTCTTTTAAACCACTGATCCATTGCTTTTAATTTATTCTAAATTTGCAAATTTATACATAATATGTTATGTAGGTACGTGTGCAACTGTACACGTGTGTATTATGTGTATACACGTATGTACATGTGCATTTAAAAAAGTTAATATTTATTTTCAATCACGACGATCTGTCAAAGTTTTAATGCGCTCAATCTCGAAAGCTTTAATTTTGTTTTTTACCTTTTATCCGTTGTTAATTTAGTGAAGTGACGAAGCCACTGATTTAGTCTAGAGAACGATATGACTGGTGCACTGAAAAAAAATTCTGGTTGAATATGGACGAATCAGATAATTCCTTTAGGATTTACCAGAATTTCTGTAGGATTACAGGAATTCTGGTAAATCCTAAAGGAATTCTGGTAAATCCTAAAGGAATTATCTGATTCGTCCATATTCAACCAGAAATTTTTTTCAGTGTGCTAAACACATTTATCGAGTATTTATACGCAGCATATGTTAAAATTGAAATATGTTAGAAATCTTTGATTAATTCTTGGGGAAGTACAGAAATAAAAACTTATTATTGAGAATTATTTCGTCGGGGAAGAATATTGTATACGTAGCTCGGCGCACATATTTCATCGGATTAACGCAGAGTTAATTACAGTTATTAATTACCTCGTCAGTGTCTGGCCGCTTTCTCCTGTGCTTGCAAGCTCGCTATTGCTTTGCCCGTGCCGTATAACACTTTTGCTCGGACCTGGACTCTCCTCGTGGCTGTACAGGTCGTTCCAGACGCGGGCGACGAGCTTCCGGTATTGCCACCGGTAGTCGAACCTAACTGCAAAGTGCCACCCGCGTAATTCGCACCTCTGCAACTCGTGCAACCCTCCGACATTGTGCCAGTTCTGATATCGTCTCGTGTTACTGTCGAATACTTTCCCTAAACAAACAGCAATCTCGCGATAATTGCAAAACGTAATTGCAAACGTAACGAGAAGCAGCATTAACGGGAATTAAGGAAGCGATATTGCAATTTTTTTTTATAAACTGATGAACTGATGAGACTGCAATCTCGGCCCGATTGTATGTAACATTCAAGTCCTGCGTTTTCCATTTATTTAATTTCATGTTGAATTGTCCAATCATATTGCCTAATTTAATTCGATTCTAAATAATATTTTCAATTCTTAATAAAAATTTTTCCCATATTTCAATTAATAGCCGAACTACATGGTACGTCGTGCGCGATTGAATCTTTATAATGTCTCGTACATATTAACGATGTGTCGTAACAAATTGGCGCAAATTATTCATGAAATTTACGAATGAGAGAGCATCGTTTCACACAATGAAAAAAAGTAGTACGCGCAAACTGAAACGTGCGGAGGTCAGGTTTTGAATAGCGGCACTGAAGTAAAGCGTGAAGCGCATTTGACGGCTATAAGCGTCATATCATGTCGCAACATCGCCGGACATAACCGTCAGTGTCGGTTAATATATTAAGCGTCGCGTCTTGTATATATGTACTCGAGAATGATTCTCCTCCCGGATAAAGGCTACATTTTCACGTCGTCTCAATTGTATCGTGACCCGTAAAACTTCTTAGGCACGTCCAACGGTATTCATTTAATCGCGTTTTTCATCAAAATGTTAAACTAGCGTCTGTCCTCTTCGATTTCGCTCCGACCAACGCGGTGGCGCGGCTTGATATAATGATTACAGTTAATTATAGCTTGTTATAGCGACACGATAGTATTTAGTTTTGATGCTTCATTAGTTTAACATTTTAGGTTCTCTATGCTTAAACTTTTCGAGGACTTTGAAACAATTGACCGAAAATCTTTTTGACTACGACGTTATTAATTATTACGCGCGACAGGTATCAATTATAGCAACATTGTGCAATTGAACGATGTGATTTTTTGCTGTTCCTTCTCAGTCAAAGGCATGTCGGCCGTCTGTTATAATGTGCAGTGTGCGGCTCCGACCCGCGTGCCGTTCACCATAAATCCGGGAAAATCTGGGTTAATTATACAAATGGCAATATATGGCGAGCTTTCCTATCGGTGACCTTACCGGAAAAAGGCAAAACTCCGTAACTTCCTTGCTTGGTTGGCTAAGGCGAATGAAGAAACAGGCCCGATACAAAAAATATACGAGCGCGAAAATAAGGTCGGTCAAATTAATCACGCCACTTACAATATTTCTCACGGATAATATAGTCTGGAGAAGAAATTTTGTTCTTTGTTACACACACTCCTTTCAAACCGGGGAGCGTTAGGAAATTATTTATTACCTTTTATTAAAAATATGCCTGGTGACGAAGAAGATATTTTTCACTACTATTTCGAGGTTCGTTATAAACTGAATAATTCCAACGCACGTGCAACTATCCGTATCCCGAATTGAACTCGTAACAAATCAAAATGCATATTCAACGTGTAACAAATCAAATGCATATCACACTCTCGCTAATCTCTCCCAGCACCATCGGCTACTGTAAACTTACTCGTGTCGGATTCTTTTAACGAGATGAATCGATCGACTCCAGGCCTTATCATCAACTGTCCTGTACGACCTCACGAAACATTTTTCCGATCAATTTCGCTTCTCCGCAGCAGATTCACGAAGCTGATCCCTCCGGGTCTCGGTCATCGATTTTGGGAAGACGACGCGTCGCGCAAATTTTTCGCGGGACTCCCCGGTTTCGCCCGGTCCGGGGTAGAGAGGCGCGCGTTCGAAATCGGCGACAAAGGACGTCCGCGTGTCCGCGTCCACGGTGCGAAGGCGCCGAAGGAACTGATCGGCCGTGTTCCAAATAGCCGGTCGGTAGGCTTCACCGAACACTCGTCTCTCTTTTCTTCTTCTTCCTCCGCGTCGTGCCGGTCGTTTGTCGTCGGCGTCCTCGCCGTCGTCGGAGTCGTCCTCCTCGTCGCCGTTGTTCACCTCCTCGCCTGGAGGGGATGTGGGCGATTGGGGACCGGGACGACTATGAAAGCCAGTGCCTAACTTGCGGAACTCGGCAGAAATTCTCGGAGCTACCGTTCTCAAATAATAACGTCCAACTGAATTGGAAGGTGGACGGGAATATGGTAGATCGACTTTCGCCACATCTCTTTTTAAATGCCGCGTAAATATAAATTTTTATTACAACGAAGGGAAACTCTCAATTCGATTCGACGCGACAGCGAAGGCTGTAACATTTTTCTTTTAATGGTGATCTCGGGGTCACATCCCCCGTGTACGCGCTTTACGTAGGACCGCTCGGCGAAAAATTTGCGCCTTCGAAATCTCATCCCCGGCCGTTCGGTCTTGACTCCTTCGCGCGGCTATGACTCACGATCGTGAACTCCGCGTCACAAAGAGGGAGAGAACGGAGGAGGGCGAGGGAGTCGGCGGACGTAAAGAGAAAGAGCGGTGAGGAGAGGTATGCATTGTGACGTGCGTACGCGGCGGCGACCCAACTCGCCGCGAGTACGTAACCTTCGATTGGTAAAAATTCGACCGGCGAGCGGCCGCTGTCGGACCTTGTGCCCCGCATAATTCTTTCGCAACGCCGCGCGCCGGCTGTGCACATGCACGTGCACGGGAGATCCGTGTAGAGCCGACGCCGCGAGCCGGGCAGTACGAGCGGTTCTGCGGGAAGAAGGGGACACGGTCGCCGGATGCGTTTTCTGGGCCTCCGCGGGCCTTGCGGACCGCGCGCGACGCCGCGGGGTGAAAAGTGGGGAACGCGGCGAATTCGCCAATTCCTTATTTACTCGTGGTCCCACCTGGGGAGGGACCGATGTCCAGAGAGAGGAGGAAGAAATTCCGCATTTTTCCGCTTCTAAAGGTGTGACGCCGCGTGTAAATGAGTCTACGTTCCACCCTTACGCGTAACTACGTATTGTACTTTGTACTTGGCTGAGCGGGGGTACAACGCGGGCTATTGTGCCAGCGAGAACTGCTCCTACGGCCGTCGTGCGGAACAAGTTGGCGTAATAATTTGATTGATACTCGCGTCGCTCGTTGCATATTCAGCCGCGTGCCGTTGCCCGACGATCGTTGCGTCAAAATTGCCATTAATAAAATCTGTTTTGCAAATCTGTGCGCAGCCTTGCATCAGAATGCGCCGCGTTCAGCAGGGCGTCGATCGCGCTGCGACGTCGTACCACGGTCGCGAAAGGATTAAAAGCTGTGAAGGTAAAAAAGAAAAGAGAAAGAAAGAATTTTGGAGCGGATCGCCGATCCGACATTAATTTGTTGGCAAACGTTACTGCTGCTCGGTACTGCTTACGAATCGCTCGGTAATTACTGTTTGATATTAGCGCAGTAATATTAAATTGACTATTAATATCAATTTAATCGTGCGGGAAGAGGAGTCTCCTCATATTCGGCCCTTTGCCAAAGCCGGGCTTTCCTCTATTCGCGCGATTAAATTGATATCAATAATCAATTTAATATTACTACGCTAATGGACATCTTGCTAATCTCCTCCCTTTTTCCATTACAAAACATTGTAACCGTCAGATGTCGAAACGATTCATAATCGAGACATTTATCGCGAAACGGACCGCGAAAAAAAAGTGGCATCAACAATGAGAAAATTCACGAGAAATAGTACGGCTGCGGTGAGAAAAATGAATAAAGCCAATGGCACACGATACTGTTTTTCCCAAAAAGCATGCAGTTTTAGATCAGGTGACTTAAGGCTTACATCCCGATTGGGTCTCGTAAGCAATCCAGTAGGAAAAATTGTATCGTGTGCCGCTGGCTTTATGTGTTAGAAATGAATAATAAGGCATTTGCCAGGTTAATTAACTGATTAATCAAGACGGAGTACAAGCAAACAGTAACGTAAGGTAGTCTTATTAACGAAAGATACTATTGGTTAAGAAATATATCGTGGTGCGTCATCACGATATAACTAATTTCAGTAAAACGTTTGCCGAAACTGAACAAAGGATACAGTTATCGTAGCTTATCGTAACTATACAATTTTCTAGCTACTCCGTATTACTTCATTACCGTTTTAGTTACATGTAACTAATAAAACAACGTCGATATCCTACGCCACATTCGTCGCCCCGTATTTATTTCAATTTATGAATAATTTATAACAACTTTTATATTATGCGGTTCCCGAAACTACTCCCTTTGTCCCCTGACTTTGCAAGCTGTCGCGGGATAGTTTGCGGAACTATTCCGTTTTCTCGGTGGATGGGTGCGCGCGTTCGGGGAATCCTCGGCCTGGGAATCTCTCGGATCTGAATCATCCCTACGTCGACCTACTCGCGTATGTCGGTCGTTATCTACTTCCCGCGGTGTAAAAAAGGTAATCGAAAATACCGTTATCACTCGTGCGAAGCGTCTTTCTTTCGTGACGCCGTGCAATTAAATGCCAAAGCGAACTGACTCCGCCGCCGACCGTATAGCGTCGCGCTATCAGTACCTCGCCAGTGGGTCAGTCAACAACGGGGTCAGCCGAGGGCGAATCCGGACTGCGGGTCAGCCAATCGCGTACGCTCGCGCGGCTGTCCGTGTTTTCGCGACAATGAGTATTAACTGTATACGTATACCATACACCCGCAACACAGTTAAATTCGTGCTGGCACTTCCGCAGTGGCGTAGCGCCGGCTTCGGCGCGGCCAAAAGCGAGCGTGAGGCACGATCTGATAAAACTCCACTGATTCCGCAACGGTTGGCGCGGGATTCCGGTTTTTTTTCTCCTTTTTCTTTTGGGCGGCTCTCCTTTTATCCCGTACGCCCTAGTCTTGAGTAAGTAGACCAGGCAGACCAGGTCAAATTTCGCTCCGGCGCGACAGCTCCGCTGATTACGCAATTAGCGGCCGCGGAGTAAATTATTAACAATTATCGTCGTTAACTATTATCGCAATCGCGTAATAAACAACCCGGCCGGCGGTTTGGATTACCGAGACTTTCTCTCGTTTCTTCTCGGCAACGCGACGTTTCCTCTACGTTTCGTCTCCGTAATCGGGCTTGTCTTATGTCGACGACGTCGTTTGTAAAAGTTTGCAAACGACGGAAACCCATTCGCGGCGCGTTCGCCGGAAGGGCAGAACGTAAGATCGTGGCCCAGGGTGGGAGACCGAGTAAGGAGTAGGTGGTGGTTCACCAACGCGGCAAGACGAGAAACAAGACGGAAGTGGGTCAGCAGGACTATCGGTCGCCGAGGGTCCGGGTTCTTGTCTCGCTCGCGCGTTTGATTCGCCGGAGGTGATGATGCTGGGTGGGATTGGATAGTATCCAACGTATACAGGTTCTTCCAGAAGAGATAAGAATCGGCGGTGTGGGAATATATGGAAAATGTCCAATGTATTCTTATTTCTACCTTTCGCGGAGAGAAGAACTTGCATAGCTCGTTAATTAAGCGTACACGAATAAGCTTCTTAGGAATCAAACTAATGCGTTCCGATTTTCGTACGTCGTTCTGTTATGTCGAGAAGAAAAGAATGTGCGCCTCGATGGCGACGCTGTGGATCGGATGTTGCAGCCAACGGATACAGGTCTCTTCCAGGAGAGATAAGACTCGACGGTGGGAATATGTGGAAAATGTCCAATGCATTCTTATTTCTATCTAAAGAAAATAATTGTGTAGTTCGTTACCTAAACGTATGCAAATAAGTCTTTCAGACATCAAACTGACGTGTTCCGATTCCTGCATCCTCCTTCATCTAAAAGAATTATATGACTCGTTAATCAATCATATAGTATAAACAAGCCTTTCGAAAGTTAAATTAATCAAAAGTCTCTACTTTTTGCAACTTTTTTAGTATCAGTACACGATTCGTTTACGACTTCGTCAATTTTCTCTACTCTTCATTTCATGCGATCGATTAGTTTGGCCTTTGAGAGACTCGATTGATGAACCGTAAGGTCCAAATAAAAGACAGATTAGCGAACTGCATATCGCAAAGTGATCTCCCTTCTTCTTCAGTTATAAACACAAGACGACTTTCCTCTCGGTTTATATCTCGGTAATTATATATACGTATATATTATACTTTCACTGATTACACGCATGTGCGATTGGAGGATTATAAGATCGCGAATGTAAAAGGAAAGAGGAATCGTCTTCGCGCTCGTTGGTTTCCATCTTCCAGGCGGGACACCCCGCCGAGGTTCCTAACGAATAAATTCCCTCGAGACAAATACAATGTTATACTTTATTTCGTGCGTTTCCGTCGTAGTACATTGTCCCCTGCAGAAAAAAATGGGGGCGGGGAAGGGGGAGAACTTAGTCGCAACAGAAACGAAGCCATCTCTTCTATACAAACACCAATTCGCTACTGTACATAATTTACTCGCGTTACATCACTCTTTTTAATGAATCACGAGTGACGCTTTGCTTTCCGGACACGAGGGAGGAACGGGAAAAGGGGGAAGCAACGGGGTCGGGGCGCGAGAATGTCTCCGTTCGGATCTCGAACTAATTAACTCACATCGCCGTCGCGTATAGGCACAACTATAATTACATCGCGATGAGTGTGGATCGTAGAAACGAGAATTTTATTTTCCCTCCCGCGTTCTCTCACGTCCGAAATAGGTCCTCGCCCTCTGGTTACCTTGTGCGTGCGGGTTCGCTCCTCCTCGAAATATTTACAAATATTTCAGCCAGCATCAGCGTTGGCTCGGCGCGCCTCTTGCTTCTCCACGTCGTAATATTTATAATATGCTAACGGTTATTTTTACATTCAACATCGATAGACACTCACGTAGTACTATTAAAATTTCTATCGTCTTCTCGACCAAACGGAAAAGGGGCGCGGGTGCCCGTTGGCTCTCAACGATCGTGTGTCTAGGCAAAAGTAACGAGGAAGAGGCAGAGGGTACGAACTGCATAATTAAATCGACGCACCGCTGGCTGACTTTTGTCAAGTGCCAATCAAGCTTATTGCGAATTGTCATTTCCGATTCGTTTTTTCTTCTGCCCGCGACATCGACTCTCGACGAACGTTCAGCGGTGCACGGGCTCACGTATACGCAGCCAGCGAGACTCGCTCTGCCCCCCCTCCCTAATAATTCGATCTTTTGCCACTTCATTGATAAAAAAATATGTGCACCATCCTCGCTAAACGCAGGTGGCCCCTTGGTGCACGATACTACTGCTCAATAAGCAAGTGATATTCGAGGGAGGACTTCGAATATACAGCCAAATCGGATCTGCGGCGTGAAGGACGGATTTCACGATAGATACCTGCATGGACACTCGGGATTGGGGCTGCTCGCTTGACAGATCGATATTACGCAGGCTTTCGGCGGACGAAGTGAAAGAAATATGGACTTAACAACCGACAACACGCACACGAACATACACGCACACGCGTTCCCTCATCCTCGCTTCACCTCGTCGCTCGTGCTATCTTCTCACCATTTTTCGGACTTCCTGAAAAGATCCCCCTTTTAAATACATCGCTCTTTTCGCTGTTAGTCGAACGGCTACATACAAGTGTATATGCGCTAGATAATCTTGCTGGATAGCTCGAATACGAAATGTGCAACGCGACCTCGAGACGTTTGGGAAGTTCGTCGCGTGATAATATTGTGCAGTAATATTGTGCGATTGGGGGTAATATTCAGCAAACCACTCTACACTATGGTACTTATCGTCGAATCGGTTAATACGTCGACTGCCGCGCCGTCGTTCTCTTCTAATCGGATACAATCATTTACGTACGGCGACGTATCAACTACATTCCTTAAAAATTTTGCTAAAACTCGCTCTTTATAACGTGAAAGTTAAATTCCTTTTGATTAGATAGTTTCTTTAAAAACTTTTCAAGATAAATCCGATCCGAGACCTACGCCTGCTAAGATTTCTCTTTGCCGCACGTTTTTAAAATGAGACAAAACAAACATCTATACTCGGATAAAACACGCGTAAACGTTTTATAACGAAACAAGTAGTATCTCTATATGCGCCATAGTGTGAAACAGAAATTATAAATCAAAACAAAAAATACAACTTATTTGTTTTATCTTTGAAGTAGATTAATAATACTCTTTGTTCTGTTATGTACAACAGTCTATAAGCCTCTTCGTCTTAACTATGCTAATAACTAACTATAAAACTGGTATTAACTGGTTCAGACGTTACTCGCCGCTTTAGATTCAAAATATTCTTCAACTAAGGTCTTAGAGTAACCTTTTTTAGTTTTTTTCTCTCCTTCCGTTAGTTCCGTTCCATAGAGTTCTCCTCTTGTACGTTTCTATCAACAAAATTTGTCGGCATCAAGATTGATCGTGTCTCTCCTAAAAAATATACTGTTTACTCTAAGCCGTTTTTAGATGATGCTACCAGACTTTAGGAACTTTTTCATTCTTTATTCGTTATTCTATTTTGAATATTAGAAAAAAAGTACACTGTGTCGGATTTACATGCATCGAAAAACGCACGTGAAATCACTTTATTTCCTATTTCTGAGCCTGGTAACACGGATCTAGTCAAGCAGAAAGTGTGTCATATGTAATCATCGTCGATAGCTTTGTCATACGTTAGAACGTAAAATATTCCTTTATAGGCATTTTATAATTTTTATAATACAAATATAAAACTTTTACTGACTTCAAAAAGGTATCCTTATTGACTCGAAGTATCCAAGTGACTTCCCATTACAATTTGTCTTATGCTCTAAAAGCCCTCACTGATTTCGCAACGACGATTCGTGCTTGGATACAACGAATTGCGGTATAAGGAATAATGAGATCTCTCAAGCAGCTTATACTTGCATATATCCTCTTGATAATACGCATATCGAATGAAACATTGAGATCGGTACGTAAAATATAACAGTATGTCTCGAGTATTATTCATTTACAAACTAACTAACATTCGAAGAATATTACAGATCGATGCTTGAATTCCCGAGTCGGAATGTACAAGCCTAAAATAAAACAGACTTCTATTTTTCGCCGGTACTTATCACACTCGTAACGATCCCTCGAGGTTGTCACGACTTCTCATAATTAGTGATTAATTGTCCGTCTAGAAGCATCGATAAATATTTCAATTATTTATATTTTTCTTTAATATTTCTCAGTGGCTACTGAACAACATAAAACTAATCTATGTATAACAATAAAATTAGACCAGAATAGAATTGCGAAAAAATTTCTCTCTCGAATAGAATATCATTTCGTTTATAAAAAGTAAAGAGTAGAAGATAGACACGTTAATAAGCAATTTTTTAAACAATTATTAAATTTCTTAACACTTATCATTTATTTAAGAGGCCAAACATACTTTTTCCGCACTCTCTAAAAATTAATTAGTAAATTATCACATGAAAGCAGTAAATAGTCACTGATTTACAGTTATAAGTATACTACTGCGACGTTCACTGTTTTCAGTGATAATCCACCGATTGACTTTTAGGGAGCAGTAAAATAATTTAGAACATACAATTTGTCCTTCACACGTAGTGACCAGATCTCACGAAGTCACGTTCGTTCAAGAGTATTGAAGAATAAGTTGGAAGAAAAATTCAAGATAGCTCTCGATTCATGAGCCGTTGTACGAATTACTTTTTCTTTAGGTAGTCGCTGTTCATTAAAACATTTCGTTTGTTGGTAGTGCCGTTGAAGATGTACGACTAGGATGCTTTATGCGAAATGTCGTTATTAGGGAACGTTACGTTTACACGTATAGGACGTACTCAATTTACATTATTCGCTTATGAAATGCCGCTTACTTTTGCTATAAGTACGCGGTGTGTTTACTACTGTGCTCAAGAGCGGCAAGAACATCCTGCTTTTGCCTAACGTACAGCCGTCCCTTCTTCCACGGATTCTGTAAGTGAAGCGGCTTAAAATCGTCCCTTAAGCAACGCTCCCGCGCACCGATTACGGCAACTAGGCAAAAGTTTCGCAGCTCGTCGGCCGTGTAGGTGGGACCCTTCTGTCCTTTTAGGACCACCGCCATGTTTAGTTGCTTAACAACGAGATCCACGACTTCCCGCGCCGTGGTCCTCGGTGTTACGTGCAGCTTCAAACTGGTACCAGCTGCCAAACCGGTCTCGTAGGCCGCGTAAACCTGCAACGGCATCGCAAGATATATTGTCTTCTTATGTCTTGCAAGTGGTCAGTCACATGATAGAGAAAAAATTTAATTAGCACAATGCAGTTTCGAATAAGGAATAAGTGTGTCTATAAATGCGTACATAATTTGAGTCGATAAAACTAACACGGCCGAAATCGCATAGAAACGTTGTATCGATGTACAAGCTTATGTGTAATATATGTACATGGTGTGTCCGAAAGATTTCAATACTCAGTGAATAAAAAGAACAGACAGCGCCGTAAAAGAATTGATGCTTATCAAACTTTTCAAGATTCGTTGAACATCTTGTTTTTTCAAAGTTAGTACTTTCTAATAATTCACTCAGCTTCCTAATCTTATAGACACACTTTGTGCTTAGACGAACATAGAAAAAAAATGCGATATATATCCATAAGCCGTAAAAATATATACAATATAATTATATACAACACGATACTGCCATAAAACTCATGTATGTTGTTAATAATTCGTACTTTTTATGCAATACCCCTTAACACGATGTCATACTGTTATAACACATTACATACAGACATAATTTAGTTTCAAAGTAGCTATTACAAAGTGTAAAACGATCATAATAAATCTCTCATGCCGTACTGACGTTGGCACATTAAGCATAATATTTAAGCATAACCGAGCAGAGCAAGCGTTGAAATTTAACGGTGGCAGCTTACTCAATATGTCCACTACATCGGTTTGCACTACAGGACCAAGTGAGCTGTTTTTAATTATAATCGGGTTAGACTTGTGTTCCCTAGGAAGGAAAAATATCATTTAAAGACCGTATTTCGCGAGTCCAGGGGGATTTTAATGATGCTGAAAATTTCACTACTCGAAACGTCGCAATTGGTACGATAAGTGTTAGTACGTGGAAGAGTATCAAATATCGTAAAATTAGAGGTTGTACCTGAAGAATGCCCGGTAGAGGTGCGGGCATCATCGTCGCCTCTTCCTTCTCCTCGTCTAGATTATCCGTCGGGACGGTGGCCATCGCCGCGACGCTCGCGGTCGGTTTGGACGTTTTGACCTTGACACCCGGCTGGCCGGGCTTCAAGCAGACGCTCGAATTCGTCGCAGAGTACTCGTCGCTGCTCAGCGAGTGTAGACTGTCGGAATTTGTGTTGCTCACGCTAAGCAGACTCGTGGTGTTCGTGGAGATCGCGGTGGAGACGCTCAGCAGCGAGCCGCTATAGATGATGGGCTTGATGCTCAGTAACGGGCTGGTGCTGGCCGATGCCGACGTTATCGTGGCGGAACGATTTCGCGGGCTGTGTTTGTACTTGGCGAGGATCAAGGTGTCCTCGGACTTGGAGGGCGGCAATCTCACGTTCTGCAGCGGTATCAGGTGATTCGCGCTACTGGTGGCCGTCAGATTGCTTAGGTTGCTACTGTTGCTTATCGGCGCGCACGATTTCTGCGGCTCCGAAGTTGTCGACACGTTCGACGTGTTGCTACCTTTGCGCACGTATTGCCCACTGGGCAGCTGTTGCTCGCTCTTGCTGAATTCCGTCGTAAGGAGATTGGAGGACGATTTCGATAGATTGGGACCCGGCCAGCTGCCGCGGCCAGGACTCGATTTCACAAGTTTAGGATCTCTGGGTGGTAATTGTAGCAAGCTCCGTTTCAAGCTGTTACTGTTGCTGTTCTTATTTCTGTCGAGACTGAGTAGGTGCTTCATAGATATGCCAACGGTTTGCGACGGGATCTGCGAGAGATTATCGGAATTAATAACAAACGACAAAATTAGAAGTGTAAGATAAAATTGTAAGAGAAATCTAATATGTTACACAAGTTACCTCAGTGTTATTATGAATCATTATTACGTAAATAATTACATTTAATTGGGAAGAGCCGCGATCTCTCGCGAAAGTTATGACGTCGATCAGCCACCTGGCGCCTTTCCACACGGTATTCACTTGCGACTGAAGATCCTGCAATCTCGCTAGTTTGTCCTTCGCGACGCTCAGCTCCAAGGAACTGAAGGCCTCTCTGTGATTGTGCTGGGCCTGTGCGGTGTCCAGTTCCAGGATGCAGCTGAGCCTCGAGTAACGATTGATCACGTCCTTCTGATACGTATTCAAGTGGACCATCTCGAAGACCTGAATAGGCAACGACAGGAGGTCACCGCGCTGTAGCAGAATCTCTCGCGTGCCAGGTACGCAACAGGCGGTTTCGGCGGGCGGCACCGCGATCAGGAAGGACACGTCGTGAGTCAGATCGATCACCTCAGCGTCGTACAATCGATGCACCAGCGAATCCTCCGGACTGATCTCCATATAACTGAACAGTCGTCGCGCTGTCGCGGCGACCAGATCGACGAACAGCTTTTGCTGTTCCGTGCCTTGCGCCTCGTTCGTCACGTTCTCCTTCTCTTCGGATTCCTTCACGGAAAGCTCGGACGTGCAGATGCGCGTCACTCTCTTGAGGTAGTCCCACTCCTCCCTTGACAGGTAAAAACGAGAGTACGATAATACAATAGATAACCGTGACGTCGAATTGCGATATTTTGCGCTGTAATGAACGTAAACTTACGCGGACACGTGCGGATTATCGCGAATCTTACAATGTGGCAATACGTTCGGAGATTTCGTCGGAACAACCACTTGTATGAGGTCCACGCTGCTTTGCATTTTCAGATAACCGAGGTATAAACCCTTAGATAATTTAATACTGCTGACTTGGTGATATGTCATTTGCTCTTGTATGCTGGCCATCAGAATATCGGCGACGTTACTGTCTTCGTGCGTTATGACCTTCTTTATGACTTTACTGAGCGGCAACCACCTGCTGTTTAATACAGAAACCAATTTCGGCGACTTTATATAATTTACTGTCGAGAACACTAAGGTGCCTTGAATGTCTCTGATAGGTTTATGATACAATTGTCCAAGGTCCTGTATGCACAATGCAGCCTGCAAAATACATTAGACAGACTATCGTAAGATGTTTCTCTATATTTTTGAGTGAGCAATACGAGCTTGAGTAATTAGATTCAAGAAAAAGTTCGGTATTTTTATTAAACGATAGTAAACGGTTACCTGCATTTGGGCAGCAGCTTGAAGCAATTTTATCCTAAAGTGATTAGTCGAGCTGCTGTGACTCTTCTCCATATCCTGCCGTAAGGATTTAACATCGTCCCAAGTACAGGCGACTTTCATGAGCCAATGAAAGTCGTTGTATATACAACTGGGATACGTCTCGTCGATCTCGATCACGGGTAAGAAATCCTCGTTGGTAACGAGAACCTTGTCCTCGTGGTAGAGTAGACACGCTAGAAACACCCCTCGCCTGAGATTCTTCTGAAATTTGCTCGTCGCCGTGAAAAGCTGTTTTATCGTTGTCTTCTTCTTGTGATTTCGCCTCTGCACTGCCGGCGTTTCCTGCGTGTACTCCGGTCGCCTTATGTCGATGAACAGAGTGTTCAGCTGCTCCAGTCGCCCCGCGAATCTGGGCACCCTGCCGTCTATGTCCCTCCAACCTTCGATTCGAGTCGAAATGAATTTTTGTAAAATTGAAAATGTTCAAACGTCTACCCGGTACGGTACTTACTGCTAGGCGTAACGTGCGCGGGCGTAGAGTTTCTGAATCTGCTGTAGCCCTTCAAATTTCCGGCGGCGGCGCGAAAGTGATACTTTTGACCTTGAGTTAGACCCTCGATCCGACACTCCCTCTGCTTCATGTCCAGGACCTCCCTCTCGCCGCAAATAACCGAAAAGTCCTCGTGCAGGCTCCATTGGACTTTGAACTTGGTGCAGATCGGAGAGTCGTGCGAGTCTGGTTCTTGAAACCTGACTGCTACCGATGTCGTTCCGGTGACATCGACTGCGACTAAGAAGGGCATGTCGGGTGGGCCTGGAAGTAGAGAATATGATATATTTTAGTGAAAAAGTATTTGTTACGAGTCCTTTTAAAAAGGGTGATATGCGCCAACATGTTTTCGGTAACGCAATTTATAGGAAATCTATTCAACTCACGCGCTTGATCGAAACCCAGCAACATTTTTCTGAGGGCCCTGGCTCTCCTTTCCCATAGGGCAAGCTGCTTATCCTCCGTGCTACCTCCGCATCCCGTGGGATTGTTATGTTGCGTGGAAAAACTGGCCCTATGGCTGCTAGGTGGTTCCAATAGAGTTGTTCCACCGCTGCCGGAAGTACTGCCGCCGAGCTCTTGAACCCTGTGTTCCGCTTCCGAGAGCAATGACGCCAAGTGGCTACCCAGAGATTCCGGAGACTTGACTGCGTCAACAGAATATCAAACGTATGTACATATATACGAAGGTACGAATTCGCAGTTAAATATTAGAATGCACGAATGTACGTGACGTGAATAATTTGAATTACATTTGGACGCGGTTCTGCAATGCGGTACCAACTCCGAAAGCTTACTTTTCTGCTAGAGCAAAATCACACGAAACGCTAGGAATAGAATTCCGCGTCAACGTTGTCTCAAATATAATGACCGAACTATATAATCCTCTTTAAACACAATTTCATGTGTTATATGTGTGTGTTTTTTTTACATTAGGAGTAAAATTCCGAGCCAAAGTTATCTCAAATATAATAACTAAATTATAATCCTCTTCAAATACAATTTCGTGTATTATGCGATTTTTTTGACGGGTAAGAATTGGTCCTTTTTGCATAATACTACAGACTTCCGCTTCGAGCTGATCACTTCAGGTACGTTCCGTTTCACGCATGATGCGCATGATGCATTATTTATCCTTGTTATTCACCAAATGTTAAAGAAGGATAAACGATGCATCACGCGTATCATGCGTGAAACGGAACGTACCCCTGGTAATACAGAATAAAAAATCGCGAAGGTGGCGTTTGCTTCCTTATTACATATAACTGCATCGATTTGAGGCAAGCTTCGCGTTTTGATTATAAACATCTGAATGGAGCCAGTTATGTTTTGACAAATGGGGATTGTTACCACCCGCATGTTGTCCCACGCGCGATTATTGAACTAATTAGAGTATTTGCTATTTCGCGCGATCGATAGCTGCAATATTGTCGCGATATCTTGCGTGTCTCTTTGCAAGAGACGGTTTTGTCGTGATTAATTAGGGACTCGGGCACAATTGCAATTGCTTTTCATCGCGGAAATCGATAAAGAAGACGCGCTCAAGAAATTGCTTAAACGGCACCTGTCGGATTCTCGTATCGCTCACAAGGGGATAACCACTAGCCAAAATGTCCCACCGATTACGATTTCGTCTGATTACAAATAATCTCATCTAATTGCAAATAATTTTCTTATATACACGTTAAAAAATATGTAACGTGGTTAAACCTCAAAGAGCTGTTAGCTTTCCTCAAAGTACACTTTTCTTATTTTACGAAGAAGTATATACTGTTAGCGCTGTTGTTCTAACAGCAACTACTTAAGTCTCATTATGAAAAGAATACGCGCTAATAGGTGTGAACTATGATATACAGGGTGTCTCATTTTTAATGATCCACGCAAGTATCTTCAAAATTTTTAAATGGAACCCCCTATTGTTTATTATACTGTCTTATTCTACTAATTAATATGAACAACTTTTGTCTGAAACGTTTTTAATTTGCCTAATACTTTTTGAGATATTCAAGAGAAAATTTATAACTTTTTCAATGTTTAACTTATGATATCTCGATAACTGTTTGTCGAAGGGAAAAGTAGTACAGGACTTTTGTACTTGATTTAGTCTCAGGAATATGCTGTTGCAATAGTGTTTCAATTATTGAAAATTCTTGTGTATTGTAACACATAAAATTTACACACACAAAAATTCTATTGTCTAACAAGTGAAGAAACTTGAAAATTAATACAAAATGATTACACGGGGATTTCATAATAATTTCGGAGACGCTGTCCCGCGATTACATAAAGTGGTTACCCCCTTCATCGCTCACGTCTGTCGAATCAAAGTTGAACGTCGAGTCATCCTTCCCGGGGATGTTTACAGGAACCCGTCGCGGATGTCTCGGGAAAATTAGTTCGGAAGAAGTGTCCCTCGTACTCTATATTTCATTTTCGAGGACTCGGTGTCCCAACGTGTTGCCGCCGTAAAAGCGCTAACGAGCGTAACGGGACAAATTAAGACGCGGCAAACTTTCGCAAAGACGAATGAATCTCAAGTTGCCGACTTAATAACGCGGGATTCCCCGGTCTCGCTTGACGGCACATTAAGGAGAAATTTATCTTCCTGAACTTTTATCCCACTGTCCCGGGGAGACAAGAGAGCCGTTCGGCGACGCGATAATCTCGCGCGGAAATCCGATTCGGGTCCTCTAGCCGCGGGCACGGCCCGCGACGTTTCGTAGTCTCGTTGCGAAAGTCGATGGGAAAGCTCGGGTGTTCGCCGCCGGATTTTTTTTTTAATGCCCGGAATGCTCCGAAGAGATGAAAGGGAGTCGCTCGCTCGCATTCACAGTTCGCGCACTATCCGGCTTAACGGGATACGAGAGCGTCGAGAAATGTTTAGATACCGCCGCCGACTTTACAATTCCACGCCGCGTACACGCGCTCGCGTTCGATCGTAATTACGCCGCGGCTCGATATACCAGACAAAGGGGGATATTATTAAAAACGTCGCGGAAAAAGCGCACCGCCGCGTTTCCAGAGCGAGAAGAGAGTCCCCCGTTTTTCTTTCTTTCTTGTCTTTTTTTTATTATTTTATTGCGCATTTCGCATTTCGCATTCCCGCTTTTATATTTATTCGTCGCGACGCAATAAAGCCCGACGGCATTTTTATTAGAGACTACGGAATCCTAATTGGAATCTCCCACGAACCCGCCGATTTTCTTGGGGGTTTTATTTTTTTGCGAAGGGAAAGCGAGAGACAGAGACGAGAGATAATTTCGCGGGAAAGCGGAAAAGCGAATCCCGCGGAAAGAGGTGCGGATCAACGAGATTCGTCACGGGCGTAACGAAGTTGCCGCTATGCCGCGCGAAGTTTGTAATTGGATTCGATTGTACTTACATTGATTCCCCTCCTGCGCCCCGAACGCAACCAGCATTTTTGCAAGCGGCCTGTTGTTGCTAAGCACAGCGACGTCCAGCGGTGACAAGCCGTCGCTGTTAACGCTGTAAATGATGAGATTGCAAATAGCGTAGGCTGGTGGTAAAGTTTACTTTTAGATCCTTTCCAAGAGGCAGACAAAAGTGAGAACGTTCGAGAGACATTTCGCAGTTTTTCCGTGTCAAACTTTTCATCCTCTTCTATTTTTTTTTACATTGTACCAAAGCACATAACTTTACGCGTCGTTGCACGCAACGTTAAACATTGTCTAACTTTGTTTCACCTTCCGCGCCGCTTTATCCGCCGTTATGTGAAAATAAAACCGAAAAGTTTCAGCCATTGAGTCCCTATATCAAGTTAAGGCGGGATTCCCCGTGGAATAAAAAGACTTCGGGTACGTTTTCGCTAATATTTATGTGACATTTAGGAGGACGATAAAAATCCGGCAAAGCACACGTAAGTGTGGACTTCCTGACTGAATTATAAATCGGTGCCATCCCGCCGTCCCGTTTGTATTTTCCAATCTGAGTGTATCTCGTTTTACGAGCCGTCGCTCGGTTCCCTTCGTTAGAACGGAAAAATTTTGCTTCGTCCAAGCGGCAAATCGTGGGATTAATGAGATTCACTCTGAAACATTTAATTACTTTCGCCTACTTCACCTCGGACTACTTTGATGCGTAAAAGCGAGGGAGGGGACATCAAATAAACGTTAACGATATAAAATAGTCCGGGATAAATGCTGGCTAAATGAATTTCCCAGTTTTACGTCATCTATCGACTTTTCGTTTGCAACGGGAATTTGAATTGCGTTGTTACAGCTACCGTGCGAAATGAGCAACTTGTAACTTTTCCGCTCTCTGCCTACGGATTACTTTTTCTATTTTTCCATCTATACGGATCTGTTTTCAATTGCTGGATATTTTTAAATAAAGTATATTATCCGGGCAAGAGAATCCGGGCAAGAGAACATATTCGAGAGTAGTTTGTCAGAAAAATTCCAAAAACCAGCCGACGGTTTTTGGAATTTTTCTGACAAACTACTCTCAAATGTGTTCTTCAAAACAAAACTGATTATCGAAAACTTTCAGACGTTAAAACACGATCATTAATGTCAATAATTTCTTTTTACCAACACCGTCGAACTATTTCCGATATTCTTGCGCGACCGACGTGACAATTGGAAATGCATATTTTTTACACGTTCAGATTTATTCCTCTTTATCCAATTTCGACAATGTGATATAAAACTTCAGTATCCAACTTTTTCAACCTGAAACGAAGTGAAAACGCTATATTTTGCTGAGCGTTAAAATCGTCCGAATTGAATCCACTTTTTTTTTATTCGAGTTTTGAGTAATTCTTAGTTCGTGAAAGTTCAAATATCCGGCAAACTTCGTGAACGTCTTTCAATCAAATCAGTCAGGCCATTCGTCTATACATGTTAAATCGGTCACCCGAATTGGCACCGGAACCTTGTTAATCCGCGTAATTCATTTCATCGACGGCCAACGCTTTGTCGTAGTCACTGGCAGGACAAACCAAAAGCTAATATATCCTCGGGCGACAAATAGCTGCCGGATTGCTCGCCGGAAATAGAAGCAAACAGCTATTTTCCGTAATTACTACACGCGCCCGACAACGAAGAGCTTCCAGAGGCATTGGAATGCAACAAAACGCACCATTTGCCCGCCGGCTTAAAGATGCACCCGCTATCCGTTCCGCCGAAATTCGCGGCTCATTTTACATTCACGAAGAGCGCTCCGACGTAATTTAACACGCTCTGGCTGAAAACGAAATTAGTCCGGCATAAAAAGCGCTAACGACTCGTAGCTTTCAGACACGGCGGAGAAATAATTGCGCAGGCCGCGAGGAACAATTGGAGCGAGGTGAAATTTTTATTTTATCCATCCGCGATTATCCCACGATAATCTTCTACGTTACAATCCCTCCCGGACACGGAGGAAGTAAAAGCTTCAACGCAGCCCGGACAATTATTTTTTGCAGACGATAGCCTGCGCCCGATATATGTGGTGACCTAAATCTCTCGAGATCCCCCAAGATACACGTCGAATCGAATCAGGATGTTGGTAGGTACCACGCTGGTCGAACCGTTCCTAATAGCGCGATTGACTGCTTCTGCAGCGGTGCGCCTCGAAAGTTTCGGCTCGTATATTAGATTAAAGCCTCGCCGAGTAATGTGTATTTCGAGTGAACGAGGGTCTTCTAGGTCAGGCGTAGGCTCTTTCGCGGGAAGGCGAGGATCGCGACTTTAAATATCGCGAGATAAAAAATCCATAGCTCACGAGTTTCAACAACAAGATAATTGAATTCTCTTGCGCGCGTAAATTCAATGATTTACGGGTATCCATCAGATTATCCAGCGAACGAAATATCCGGCTGTCAGATAAGATCGTATCTCTAACTCAGCAGCTTTTAGTCCCCATTTACCCCCGAAACAATCATCTTAATAATCCCTTAATGCGTACGTACGTCTAACGATATAAATAGCTACTCACCTATTTATGTCCACATCGGTAGATTCCAAAATAGTCCTCGCTTTATCCAAGTGACCATGTTCCACAGCCGCAAACAGGGCTAAAAATAAAACGACAACAACGTCGAGGTTATTTCTAATTGCGTGTAAAATTTGCCGTGGCAAGTGTAAGTTCGGCAAAGAGCTTTTGAAAACTTAAAAAAAACGGCAAATCGATAAAAAATAAAATACCATGCAGGTGTATGTTGAGGGATTGGGCCGAGAGAGGATTGATATGTATTGACGATAGATTATTTAGTTGTTGGTGTGGCTGTTGTTTCTTCTTGCCGAAACCCTCCAGGAACTCCATCCCTTGCAACGAGTGGAACTCTGTGCGCATGAAGAGATAAAGCAAAATAAATAAACCATAAATAAATAAATAAACTAAACATTGTACAGTAAATAAGCGGTAAATACATAATGTAAAATGAGAGAAATTTGAGGGAATCGAGAGGAGATTGTATGTTCCGAGAAAGATAAATCTGTGCAATTTATTGAGTTTACTTTCACATCGAAGAAATATATATATATATATTTCTTCGATAATATATATATATATAATTTTATAATGATTTAAACGCGTCCCATCAGTTGTTGTAATAATTATTTATATTTCAATTAGTGAAATTTTGGAAGTAAATATGGAACGAACGATGAAAGTGTTTGCCATAGAAAGCTGCGATTTAAGAAATGAAAGAGAGCTATCCCTGTATTATTTCTTTCCTTCATTTCTTATCTTGCTCATCATAATTCAATGAGCTCATGCGTTTTACTCTAACCACTTTCACGACTAGAAAATTTCCCACGTGTCGGAGATGATCTAGAATGTTAATGCCGTTTTTATTTCGTGATAAACGTACTTTCTTTTTATATCCGCGATAATTAATTTGGTTAGCGTGAGAAAATATGCCAGTTAAAGTTAAACCCGCTATTTTATTAGACAGGATTTAGACCTCTTTTCTTCATCGCCGTGAAGAAAGGGGCTAGATCGATAATTTGCCGCGGAAACTTGAACTAACTCCCTAGGAAGTGCTTAATTGCATCTGGCGCGGCCGCTGACTAATTAGAAAACTTATCGATCCAGCGTACTTGATCCCGATGATGTCGACACGAAAACTCGCTCCTGACCGAGCCGCTCGTAACTCTTCGTTTCCTTCGCGTCTCTTTTCCTGTCGGTCGTCATTTTATTTCGAAAACTATTGCCACGTCTTGTCCAAAAGTTGGCAATGTTATCCGTTCTGATTTTACAGGACTTTGAAGGGCATGTCTTGACGCTGTCGTGGATCTTCTGATTCTGCAGGCAGATCGTGGCGTTTCTTCTCTCCGTCTCGTATATCTTGCAGTAAAATTTAATCCTCGGCCGATCAAATTCGCCGAAGGACTCGGTCGTCCTTCTATTTCTGTTTATCACGTTCAAATGATCGCTCCTCGCCTCGCAAGGACGTCTCAGAGGATCGGTCTCGCATCTGGGACGAAATGCGTTTCGTGACTCCCCGTCCTCGAGGTATTCTTCATCCTCGTCCTTGCCTCGCGCGTAGCTCGTTTTGCGATAGAAGGGCCGATTAGGCGCGGCCTTGTGGGAATCCACGACGACGGTCAAGACATCGCATTCGGATGACACGGCGGCGCGATCACTTTCGCCCTCTTGCTCCTGCCGTTGTTCTTCCTCCTCCTCTTTCACTTCAAAGAGGAAGCTCGAGACGGAGGAGTCCAAGGAACTGTCCAGCACGAACGTGGGGTTCTCGTAGGACACATGTTTGCTCGATCGACCCGTGTCTGTCTCGCAGGGCGCACGTTTGTCATTACAGTCCTTTTCACGAGCATCTTCCTGCGCGCTCTCCGCACTGTGTCTCCTACGAAAAATGTGAACGATCTTCGGTGATTTCGTCCCTTCGTCCCTCGTCGAGGGCCTCTCCACGTCCTTCCGGCCCTTACCCATTAGCCTGTCAGTCAGAGACAGCTTGTTCTTCAGATCCTTCGTGATTTCTCGCGAATCGAGATCCGAGGTCTTTCGAGGACTCGGGGACGCCGCGCCGTCGATTTTGTCGCGCGGATTCGTACTCCCGAAATTTTTTCGCGGACTCGTGGGCTTCTCGCCGTTCTGAGATTCTTCAAGGACAGACAGATTACATCCTTTCTTGACGACGAGATCCTTCGGGACGGACGACAGATCGAAGCCAGCGGTCAGTCGCTGCTTCGCATGATCGCGTATCTTTGACATCAGCTTCATAGACGCTCGGAAGGATCTCGACCTCTTCAAGGTCGACATCCCGCCGCCCGAGGAACGCCTCGAGAGTAGTTCCATCTTCGGGCTAGATGGGGCGGATTTGCGAAATTTCATCTGGGGATCGCTCGATGATTCCGCTTGATGTACAGTCCCAATGTCCTATCGAGATACCTGATCCCTTTGAGAGCCTCGATACGCCTGAACCTTCTCAATGCGACGGGATCGCTTTTCGCATGTCGCTCGTTTTATAAATTATTGATAATATGTATTATCGCTGTTGGCAATAAGGCACGTTACCGCTTCTCTTTGGTAGGATAAAGCTTCGACATTTGCTGCTCTCCGTAAGTAATTCTTTGGCTGAGTAGAGCTGCAAAAAAATCATCGACACCGTCATTTCGCTCGAGTCTCTAACGTAACGGCACATTTTTCTCTCGGACTGCACGACGAGGCGGCACGGGATTATATACATTACAATATATTATACACGTAAGCTTCCGAGATTATTCCGAAACTCCTACAGCGTTGATTACCTTAATGCGATTAGTCTGCGAATTAATTCACAACGTGTCGAGTTTTCGCTCTGACTGACGGACTATCTCTCGCCGGTCTGTCTCGTTTGCGACGAAACTGATAAATATTTACACGGAGCGCCAGAGAGAAGAGCGGTCAGCAATGAAAGGGGATTAGCACGAGTGTTGCTGATAAAACGACGACGTAGACGCTACGTGACTGCCGTCTCTGAAACGATTTTATTGTTTACTTAGGGCCACGTACCCCGCTCGATTCCGCCGCGCGACAATTGGCCATTACGAAGAAGTGGACGGAACATGGCCTCTTCCTCCTCGGACAATTTACCGGGCCAATCAAATTCATTGCTGTCGTCCGTTAGTCGTTAAGATCTTGATCACAGCGGAGTGTAGGTGCTACAAGATCAATGACAAGATCGCTGGTAGCCTAACCAGCGTCGAACGTACAATAAAGCGATTGTTCCCAGCGGACGAATGCGCGAGAGAAGTTACGGAGTTTCGACTCCTCGCAACCTCAAGTAACTGCATCTGAAGTGGATATTGACGTACGATACCGATATCCGATATCGGGGGCGAAAGAAAAGAGTGACACAGATATCTTATATCGGAGATTCAGATAAAGAAATCATTCATGTCGGGACGCGTCGCGCTCGCGTAACGGATGAGCGCGATAATTTTTCAAGCGCTTTACCCCGGACTTTTATACGCCGCTCCTCGCCGTATCTTCGCGCTCGGCTTTCTCCGAACTGAAAATTCATCAGCGTGTTATTCACAGAGCGATGATGGACTAAAATATCCTTCCACGAGGTCGTGCCAGCCTGTTTCTCGCGAAAGCGTGGACGTTCAGGCGTGCATCGAATCGATTGGAAGGGGCAAAAATTGGTCGGTCTGCCAGTCCAGATTGGAGCGCATTAGAAGTTAACGAGGGAATTGCCGATCGGCTAGATGTTAACAAAGGTAATTGCAGTCTGGAGCCGAGCGAATCGTCAGACAGTTTCGATCTGCGGGGGAGCAGATCCTTCGGTAACCAACGTATTTCAAATCGAGGAAGCGGGTCGCGAGCGCGCGTTCTTTTAAAAAAAAGAAACTTTGGATTAAGGAGAGGACGGGGGAAAAAACACCCGCGGCTTGAACGTTTCTTCGTTTAACGGACATCGCATTAATCATCTTAACAATGTCTCTTTTTACCGTCTTCCTTTCCCTCCTATCCGTCTTCTCCTGTACTTGCGCGTAAGTCACACGATTGTTATCACGATGAATCGATCTCTTTGTGGAAGACATCAGCTCCGGGGGCCTCTCTTAAAAGCGGAACGATTCGTGACCAAGTCCTAACTCATTTTCCTACTCCGTTACGGACGGTTGTTTACCCCTTCAGAGCGTTGTCCTCGTTATCGGCCCCCCCCCCCTCCCTATCTCCGGTCCCGATAAACGACAATCTACTTCCTGTAATGAGGAGTCACGGTTCTTTGACGCCACGTCCTTACGTTGGAAGACGCACGCCGTAACCGAGTTACACCACTTTGACGTTACAGGATTTTAGGCTTTAAACAATTTCCCTCGACTTTATTCCATTGTATGTGTGCAACTTTTATCTACACGCGGTTTTCGCTTCTTTCTTTTTCCACTCCGCTTTCGCCAATATTTGGCTTCGCCTATTACACTACGTATCGCGTACCTTTATTCGTTCTTTACACACTCCCGTTTCTCATAATAATTTTATAACGTATTTTTTTCTCTACATTCTATATTTGGCCAGCGAGTTAGGGAGTAAACGTCGCTGCGCTGTTCTTTTACCTCGCGATTAAATCCGCGGCGAAAAAGAATGTTGTCTCACGTGCAGAAAGCTTTTAAAAACAGCGCCGCGAGCCCGGAGACATTGGGCTTGTTTTCTGTTCCTGCACTGGTGAACTAGTGCAGTAAGCTAGAATGAGAAAAAATATACTTGTCTTACTTCAATTTATTGCACTAGTTCACCAGTGCAGGAACAGAAAACAAGCCCAATGTCTGCCTGTTAAGAGACGCGAGAAAAGTCCGCGCAAATGTCACCGCGAAGTCGTACGGATGCAATGTTGTAATCTACCATCAAACGTCGCCATCGCGGGCGAGATGTTAGGCAACGATCGTGAAACCCCCGAGATCCCCGCGAACACTGTGTATCGGCAAACGTGTCGTTCATGGTATTACGCAATGCGCTCGTACGGCTGCGAGAGACCTAGCCTGGCAAGGACGTACGTGCGTCGGTCCGTTCACCAGTTTGCCGCTCGAATGCCGCCGCTCGGGATCAAAGTCCCGCCACCCCGCTCGTCGTGCTTTCCGAGAAGAAAACGTTGCGACGCGTATGCGTCGGCACGCCAGGCTACCTGGCTCTGTCACAGGGCGAATTCCACAGGGCTGGGCCCGGTTCTATAGGCGCGACATCGAGAGCGGCGTCTCCGCGCGCGCAGGCGAGGACAGCGTCGTCCCTCGGACGCCGTTTGGCTCGTTAAAGTCGCCGCGACTTTTGTCCGACCGTCCTGACGATTGTACGTCGCTTCCGCATCAATATCCATAATTTGGATATTACGTTGTATATAATTGTCGAGGCGATATACCTCTTAATTTTTCTATTGCTACTAATAAACTAACGGAGACCCTTGATCGCTATGTATCCTTGGGCCATTATTTGGAAATTCTTTCACTGTCGATTCATCATTTGGAAATGCTTTCACTATCGATTCATCATTCGGACATTCTTTCACTATCAATTCATCATTTGGAAATTCTTTCACTATCGATCCACGACGCCGCACCACATTTGTCCAATGTCACCGTGATAGGCACGTTGCCCCGGACTACTCCCGAGCACCAGCGGCCGGCCAATTTTTTCTTCAGTCACACACGATCGAACTGTTAAACGTCCGACACGTGACGAGATGTCGCGCACAGGAGCAAGATCGAGCCTCGGCGATTTACCGACGGACAGGCCCTCGGTTTCGAAACGCGTCATGTGCGCGCGCACTTTTTACAACCGTTGGCCGCTGTGACCCCGGGATTGGACTACAGGCGTACGAAGCGGCCTGCGGAGGGGCTGATTTTCTCGCAGCGTCACGAGGCCCCGGTCCCACGAGGCCCGAGATGGCGCGCGGCCACTTTCCCTTCGGCGGTTTCCTCCACGGCGGTCGCCTCCTTTTCTCGGCGAGATCCGCGACCTTGACTCGCAAGAGTCCTCACGACTTCCCTCACGTTCTCGCGCCGCGTCGCTCTCGCGCGAGCTGCGAACACCAGCGATGCGGCATTACTGAGGGGGTACGTACACATGCCGGCGGGACCCCCCGATCCGTTCCACGACGAGCAAACAGCTGCCGCGTCTGGTCCCCCTCCAGCAACGAGTGGCCACGTTGCGTTGCTCCGGAGAGAGAGAGATTGCCCAGTCTTTCGGGGCACTGACGGCTGCCTCGCACGAGCCAGTCTGTCTGCCTTGTCTGATTAAGCCAGACAGATGGATAGTTTATATCGCAGAAACGGACGGCTTCCTCTTAACACCGTCGAAGAGCGAAATACCTAATATTCTGACTAATCGTTCGTTTAATTCAATCGTTAGATTGGGTCTTAATTTAGATATTAAACTATTGTTTAAAATGATTACTAAACAGCCATTAAACCGAGATAAAACCATTAATGAACCAGCGCTAATAACTTTATCCCGCTTAATAGCATTACATTGTTAAACTACACAATCAGTCGTAAGGTGCAAATTAGTAATTTTCAAGTTTCTCTCGCTTAATTTCAAACTGCCTTATTTGATATAGGAGAGAATGAAAATAGATTGTGCGGCACGTGAGAATAACGTGAATTTTGGCAAAGCATGTGAGGACGGCGTGTGAGGTAACTTTTCCGTTCTAATTTTATTCGTATTACCTCAATGCTTGCTCAGGGTGACGTCAACGCTTAATTGGGGCGATGAAATTATGCCTAATACGCACCGAGTTCTGCCTCGTTAAACTTCTTTGGCACGATTTATTAGTACGATATGCATCACACGGCGGGCGCCTCGGCAAGCTTGTTCCCAGATTTTTTTTAACACATATCACCTTGCGCCTGCGTACGTGCACGGAGAGAATTTTCTCTTAAGATTTATCTTGGAAATGTGATCGTGGGACAACGCGGCATTTCAAAGAATTTTATGAGAGCTTCTCGATATTCTACCATACATTTCACTAGCAATTATACTTAGGCCCGGTTTCACCAAACGTCGCTTAACTCGGCCCAAAAACTATGTTTATCTTTAACAATTTTTTTTACTGTAAATTACCATACAACGAAATAAATATTTTAAGGATTTATTAGGGCAGTCTTCAATAACACCAAAAAAAATTTTGTCATCATTAAAAAGTACTTTTTAAAACTCTTTTCAAACTGGCACCATTTTGCTGTTTTTAAATAAAAATTCTTAATTGAAGTTCGGGACATAGCGACACTCACATAGATTGAGAATCTTTTTGATTTTTTGTTTCAGGTAAGCCTGAATGATAAGTTATCAACGCAGCGGACTTGCATCTTTTTTTGACACGCCATTCGAACGGTGTAGAAAACGCTTAATTAAAAAATTGTTTAAATTATGACAAGAATTTTTTGTTATTTAAGAGTGCCCTAATAAATCCCAAAAAGATTTATTTCATTGTATGGTGTATTTACTGTGAAAAAAAATTGTTAGATAAGCAAAGTTTTTGGGCCGTTAAAGAGGAATGACCCCTTAATTCATATTTGTCTCTTTCTAAAGTAACAGTTGGAAAGAGACAAAGAACGAATTAAGCTAAGCTTAAAGTTAAGCGACGTCGGTGAAACCAAGCCTTAGTATACATTTTATTAGTAAAATGTATGATAAAATTTCAAAAAAACTCATAAAGTTCTTCAAAATGCCATGTTGTCTCACGATCGCGTGATTTTCAGGATAAATTTTAAGAGAAAACCCTCTTCGTAAACAAAGAAATTCGGTGGACATGCCGCATTCCCATCGAGATTACGTAACAACATTGTGACTCCATCGATACGTCGAACAAAATGTGTTGCTGATATATATCTATATCTGATAATTATATCCGTTATCAATGATTATAGCAATTATCGTCAAATAATATGTTTGCCTGCGCTTATCACAGAATAACGATCCGCCGCTATTTGGCGCGTGCTAATACATTCACGCCGAAAATTTCAGGATTGTTACGGCAAATCGAGCACGCTGAATGCTAATCACGTCAAACACGAGATCACATACATACATGCGTACGCACGCGCGCACGTATACGCGCGTGCACACCCACACACGCGTGCGCGTATCTCTTTTCTCGTCTGTTTGAACCTGTCTGCGTAATTAAACAGCCGGTTAGACAACGCTCCCGCGCCCGCGCCATTAATCGAGAATTTCTCCGCGCAATCTGAGATTGAGTGATAAAATTATCAACGTGTCGCACGGAACGACCAGAATTCCTCGGCAATTTTGGCGTAATGTCAAAAATACCGCCGCTCTTTTTGTTGCGCGTAAAAATGTCATTATGCGCGCGCGCGACCCCATTAAGCTTCGTCCCGCTCGAGACCTCTCTTTACTTTTCCCGTTCTTCTTTTTTTTTTTACCATTAGGCGCAATGACGACGTGCCGCATTTATTAGCCGTATACGGATAAGGGACCCGGCGATTTGCATTTTCATGCGAGATCGGTCTGGCGTGCCACGTCCCTCGGGATGGCTGTAGCGCGCGAAAAAGGCGATTTGACGGAAATCGCTGCGATTATACCTCGGCGAAAGGTTGCGCCGTTTATCGCGTAGCGCCAAGTCACCGGAAATCTGACCATCCGGAGCAGATCTCGTTACGGTACGCAGGCTCTGTTCGAGAGGCGGTTTAGACTACGAACGTAGTAGTCCCTTTGAATTTTTCCTCGGTTCTCGGCTTACCGAAGGAAGCCCGGCTTCGGGTTGGGATTAAAATAGCTGGGACATATACCCGTGCATCGAGAAGCGGTGTTCATAATACCGAAATTTGCATTAATTTAACGCAAAGTTCGGGCGTAAATTTTAACAACGTTCATAGTCTCTCGCGCTCGGTGAACCTTAATGAAACTTAATATTGCGTTTCCCAAAAAGTAGATTCCCGTTTAATTTATAGTATGAAGTTGCCGCACACCTTCAGTTCGTTAACGATAAGGCGGATCGTTGAAAAAGCGAGAAATGTCGAAAAGTTCATTAGAAATCGCGCGGGCGAAACTTTCCCGGGAAGTTCAGCGCGATTGTTCGGCGGGAGAATTTAATTTCTATTCTGGGAGGATGCGATAACAATGCTACCGAGTTTTGTTCGCATGGAACGAGTCGTAACGAGGTAAGCCATGAAACACTTTTATTTTGCCCGCCGTTTAGATGGAAGATGCATTTCGCGGAACTCCCGCGGTATCGCGATTTCTCATTATGTTCCATAAGGAACGAGCGCGATTCGTGCCGTCCTAAGATGTCTCGTAATATGCTCATCGGTGCGCGATACGGATCCTTTGTGATTAATAATATGTTGTTGGTGACGCAGTGGTACACGGATACGGGTAAGCAGCTCCCTGGAAGTATGGTAAACCGCGGTTCGTGGGAATCCCCCTCTCGCCGCCCGGCGTCAGGCACACTGTGACGTCCTTTTGTGACGTCACGTGGATCCCGTCACGGCAGCTCGATCTCGGCGCATGTGCTTTTACTGCCGATAAAGAGCCTCCGCTACGCGAGGAATAAAATTTCGTGTAAAATCCGCAAGCGAGGGTGTATTAATGAAAAATTCATCGATCCGTAAAACGTAACGGCGCGGTCGACAGCGCTGTTACGGACCTAGCCCGCATCAGTTTAATGCGCCGTTACGGTCCCGTTTTCCGGCAGCCCCCGTTCGTCTTTCTTGTATATACGAGGAACTTTCGAGCTGCCAATTGAAAGTTCGCGCGCGGAAAAAAGTTCAGACATTAGACTCTACGGCCCTCTCCGAAAAGAACTTCATTAGTCGTTCAAACATATCTCGCTGAAATCTTTTTTTTTTAATATGCCCTTTGCAGCGAGGAAGAGAGTGGTCGTGTTCGTTGCGAAAATTCATAAATTTGTTTCAACCTTTCAAGTTTTTTGTTTTTCGAAAAGAGCGCTGCGATAAAATAAGCTCGGACATGCGCGAGTACTTTGGCCTCGAGGATTTTGTCCTCGTTTGTTAATTATGCGGCCGTCACTGCGTCACGACAAAGGAAGTAAGCGAGATACGAGGAAGCTGTAGCTTAGCGTCTATCCAGCTATTTCATTCGAATCGTGTAAAACACTGTGTAAGAGATTTCGTAATTTCTTACGATTGATTAGTTTTCCCTACCAAGACGGTGTATCTTTTCCTGTTATCTTTTCGCGGAATATAACGCGATTAGCCGAAATAAATTGCGCACGGTTTTTCGTCGGAGCTAAACGGTAGCTCGGAAATTTCATTAACATAAATCCATCAAATAAATTTGCTGTTTGCCTTTTATTTTAAAATCTATACACTTATATAATATATCGCGCGCGCGCGCAAATATTTAACGTTTTGCTGCTTCACGCACGATTATGTATGCAGCTCCGTACAATCGATTATTGCGCATCGCGAGTGATATATTGCAAAGAGAATGTAAATTTATTAAATATCGATTTTGCATTTTACACATTGTGAAATAATTTTCCATAATTTTCTACTAATTATGCGTTTGCAAAGATCGCTTGATCGAATTAATAAATCTATTAGAGATTTACGTTTTATTACGTGCGTGCATATAACTCGCGTGAAAAGTATGAGGAAGTTTATCAACGTTAGAATAAATAGAACGGCCAAGTGAACGTACGTGTGTATACGTGTGGAAATCGAATGGAGATTAAAACGTAGGTTTAAGATTAGATAAAGATTTGCGTACTTTTGTGTTATATAATCGATAAGTGCATCTGTTTTTTTTTGTATTATTCGTGTTGTGATAAGCGAGAGTTCTTTTAACTCCGCGGAGGATCGGCGAAGTTATCTGTTTATGGCGCATATATCTTAATTATAGCGCGATTAACATCTATGATTTGTAGGAGCGCTATTGTCAGTTCGGAGAAACGCTTCCTGTGCACTTGCGTTTCTATGGCGTCTCGAGAATCGTTCATCATAGCGTATAATCGATCGGGGCGGAACGTATTGTCTGTCGTCAATGAGACGTAACTATATAGGTACACGTTGCACGTCTGTGCGATATTAGACGGAAAATATGACGCCGCGGCGCACCACGTAAACGGGGAGCGCGATGCGGTGATGCGGAACGGATGCACACCCCGCGGAATCCATTTCCCACTGACATTGAGATATATATGGCACTGTCAGGAAATTGGAAGTGCGCAAGGACGCGCACGTTTTGTTGGAGGTGCATTAAAAAGTCATGCATACGTGCGTTCGACGAGGTGAGAAGCGACGGTGGGACGCGCGAATCCGCGGAGCTGACTTTATCTACCGGCAGTTCGCGACGAGAGATGGAATATCGCGTGGAATTCCGCGTGATTTTCAAGAACGAATAGCTGAAGCGGCGGGTATTAGATGCGTAATACGCCGTGTCTGCCGTGGCAAGACAAAGTAATTCGTTTAGCGTTGCAGTGAAATCCGTTTAAAGCACCGAATGGCCGCAGCAATTTCCTGAATTTGCATTGGCGATGATTTGGAGAATTGATGGAGCATGTTAATTACTTGACGTAATTGAAAACTACCGCAACGGGAGAGGCATTACAACGAACAGATGGATTTCAACGAGTATAGTCGATAAAATTTGTTTCATTCATTTCAAGCGTTTCATTCACTTGAATATTTATGAATTGTAATCGAAAAGAAATCAACGAAATCCCGCCCCATTTCATTTTATATTCGCGAAACGCTCTGCAAATCCAACCATCGACGGTCATTGAGGAAAATTTTGTTTAAAGGGCATCGCGTAACATTTAAATCAATTAATAAAGGAACTTGACATATTCGGAGACCCACGAATGACCTGGGACCGAGTAATTAAAGAATTAATTAATTCTGCAGACAGACATCGACATTCTT